TGTCAACATCTTCGAGACAATCTCCTTTGGTTCCACTGCATTATTTCACTTCATTTTAGCTTCTGCAGTTCTTACTTGAGATTTTAATATTACAAGTACTGCTATGTTTCTTCATCTTGGCTATTGATGTACTTACAACAAATTTTAGTATCACTCGTTGTTCCATATACCGTTATGTATTCTAGGTTTCTATGCCTTACTATTATGAAAATGTCCTGTCAAATATTCTTTCCATCATTGCAGCATCTTTCCTTTTCTAATAAGGATTCTTCTTTCTTTATACATCCTAGCAAAGAGCATGTTTTCTATTCTGCTATTTCTTTGGTCCTTTACCTGAATTCCATCTGCATCTGCCCACTCCAGTTTTTCTATCTCTGCACAGTCATTTGTCTTTTTACACTTATCTCCTATAGTTTTGTGTTAGCCTTATATACTTGATAGCGTTTCTTATTATCAGTTGTCATCCATTTGTACCAATCTTCTTTCTTTCATTGGAATGATTTCATTAGCATCGTTTGTGACGTGCCACTCTGAATACCTCACACATCTTAAAGCTTTATATATTTTTTCTTAGCTGTAAGAGAATTTATTTCTTTGTAAATGGAATTGTTTTTTGTTTTGTTTTTTTTTTTTCAAATCGTAGTTTCAGCACTGCATTGGTTTTCTTTAATTTTTATAATCATCGTCTTAATTTACATATAACTAGGAAGATGCTTGCGTTCGTCATCAGTGCTTGGCTATGTTTTACCGTGCATTTCTAAACCGCCAGTTAGTGTTCAAATGATAGGAACAGCAAATGCAAAAACATACTGGGTGTGTGTGCTCGAGTCACAAAAAGGTTTGCTGTTTGTTGTTCTCCAGTAAAAAGCATTATTATTATTATTATTATTATTAATAATAATAATAATAATAATAATAATAATAATAATAAGAAGAAGAAGAAGAAGAAGAAGAAGAAGAAAAGGTTGAAGAAGAAGAGAGTAAGAACCACATCCAACTACATAGTTACGTCTACTGTAAGTCTCATCCCCAAAGATAGTTGTTTAACAATTTCATTACTTAAGGAGAATAGCATATTCACTGGTGTGCGTGTCTTAGTGAACCAATGGATTTAGAATTGGCAAAAAATTTGCGAAATAAATGGTAGAAGCTGAATTTTATATCGGACTAATTTTATGTCGGAATGATTTTCCCAAATTGGCAACAGTTTCATACTTTACTTTTCATTTAAATAACTGAAAAGCAAAGTTTAAGCGGATTAATTCATTTCCTCTTTATGATTTCTTCTTCTTCTTCTTCTTCTTCTTCTTATTATTATTATTATTATTATTATTATTATTATTATTAAATTTTACTAACGAGATACTCAGCTAATCCCCAGAGATAAATTAGTATTATCATAAACCGTATTATTAGTTGAGTTAGTAGATCAAATTAATGCTGATTCATTAGGTAATTGATAAATCTCCGTAAAGCGATTCAAAATTCTATTCACAATTCTATTATTCAATTGTATAATAAAAATAAATAAATCGTCATTTGCAAAAATTGTTGTCGCTTTTCCTAATGCGTAGACAATAAAGAATAATATTGAGGCTCCGTTCAAATCTGTTGTTTGATTTATTGAAGTAAAAAAGAAACATCCTTTACCTTTTACTTCAGGATGATTAACAAAAAGAAAGAGATTGAGTCAGAGTGAGAGAGGGAGAGAAAGAGAGGGAGAAAGAGTCAGATAGAGAGGTAGAGAAAGAGAAAGAGAGAAAGAGGGAGAGAAAGAGTCAGAGAGAGAGGTAGAGAAAGAGAAAGAGGGAGAGAAAGAAAAATCAAAACTCAAAACAAAATCAAAACAGACTTTGTCGGTCGAATATGAAAAAACCTGTTTAAATATCGATCCATGCTGTTTCTATTGTCATATTCACGACGTTTCGACAGTTGTACGCTCCGGCCTTCTTCAGGATCTGTCCATATTTCTGTGATGAAGTATTGTAACTGTTTACACTATTTATATTGTTCTCCTTATCTTTATTGTCATATTCACGACGTTTCGACAGTTGTACGCTCCGGCCTTCTTCAGGATCTGTCTATATTTCTGTGATGAAGTATTGTAACTGTTTACACTATTTATATTGTTCTCCTTATCTTTATTGTCATATTCACGACGTTTCGACAGTTGTACGCTCCGGCCTTCTTCAGGATCTGTCTATATTTCTGTGATGAAGAATTGTAACTGTTTACACTATTTATATTGTTCTCCTTATCTTTATTGTCATATTCACGACGTTTCGACAGTTGTAAGCTCCGGCCTTCTTCAGGATCTGTCTATATTTCTGTGATGAAGTATTGTAACTGTTTACACTATTTATATTGTTCTCCTTATCTTTATTGTCATATTCACGACGTTTCGACAGTTGTACGCTCCGGCCTTCTTCAGGATCTGTCTATATTTCTGTGGTGAAGTATTGTAACTGTTTACACTATTTATATTGTTCTCCTTATCTTTATTGTCATATTCACGACGTTTCGACAGTTGTACGCTCCGGCCTTCTTCAGGATCTGTCTATATTTCTGTGATGAAGTATTGTAACTGTTTACACTATTTATATTGTTCTCCTTATCTTTATTGTCATATTCACGACGTTTCGACAGTTGTACATATAGTGTAAATAGTCTAACTAGTTACAATATCTCATCTCCGAAAAATAGACAGATGTTGAAGATTATTGTTGTAGATACGAGACAGAAGTTAGCCGATATAGATCTGTAGAAATCCAAACGAGTGATGTGTATTCCTGAAAAAGGTAATTCAACCCTCATGCTATTATATGTATGTATGTACGTATGTATGCATACTCTCTTATGTGTGTGTGTATGTATGTTTGTTCGTCATCTGCTTTAAGGCAGCAGTAAGCAAGCCTTTTTCCAATAGTATTTAATAGTGAAGTGACTTCGATCGTCGCCAGGTGGCCTCAACTGTTTTCAGCCTACATTAGACAAGGAACATGTTAATAAAACGAAGGGCATCTCCCCAACCCCGGCCAATATATAGCATATCACTATGGCCATATGTACAACAAGCCTCATATTTTCTGGGGGGTGGGGGGAGTTTCAAGCTTTTTTTTCTTGAATCTTCATTCCCTACTCCATACATACATTAACATGCACATACTTTACTCACACACACGCTCTCTCTCTCTCCCTCTCCCTCCCTCTCTCTCTCTCTCTCACACACACACACACATAGTTTAAAATTTATGATATGAATATGAGAAATAGACAAACTTATTTTTTTAATTATTGATATAAACATTTTATCAGCGATAAGAACATTGGCCCTATAAATATATCCCATTTTACGCAATATCACATATATACAGGGGTCGTTTTTTTTGTCAAAATCCGTTAATTAGTTTTGCTCATGCTAAGTCTCAAAAAACATTATATAAAATTAATTATTTCTTATCTATAATGTTGAATTTATTAAAATTATTAAACGTTTTAAGAAGAAAAATCTCAAGGCTCAAGGGCTGTGTCATAGACTTAGAAGTGGGTACGAGATCCTTCAACCGGATATGCATATATATATATATATATATATATATATATATATATATATATATATATATATGCACAAATAAAATGAGAACGTATCAAATATAAATTCAAACGTCACAACATTAATTTGAAAATAGCGCTCAATTCTATATTTTTTATTATAGGATATTACATTCGTACATATATCTAAAACCGCTACATAAATGCATTCATGTTTCGATGCATATCATCGCATATCATCAGGCGGTAGTAACTCTACCTGATGAGATGATGATATGCATCGAAACATGAATTCATTTATGTAGCGGTTTTTATATGTTCGAACGTAATATCATAATAATAAATATATATATATATATATATATATATATATATATATATATATATATATATATATATATATATATATATACGGAGTGTCTGCAAAATTGTACTAACTTGTAAATAAATATTAATGTTTATTGACTTACAAAGAAGATTAACGGTTTAAATTAAATATTAAATGCACAGATCTGCAAAAAGGAAACAAGAACAGTTCAAGTTGTTACAGGAAGCCAAAATTTGAGTAAATCTTTGGGAAAAACCTTGTATATATGTGTGTGTATGTGTATGCATATATCCATCAAAGCTGGCATTGACGCCTCGGAATGACAGTGTTGATTTGGAGGTTCATTCTCGGTCTTTTAAAAATATGTATGTGCGATTGATTGCTCGATGTGTTTTTTACGGCTTATCAACCTTTTGCAGTTTATTTTAAATTTAAATATTTTTAGATTATAAGAATTTTTTGAAAATAATAATGACTTCCTGATACAAGGCCTACTAATTAGCCCATAGCTCAGGTGGAGAATAGGTTGATTCATATCATTCGCATGGGTATTTGCGCCTAAGTGAATATAACGAACCCCTTTGGAATTGGAACTCGGCTCATAGGTTTCCAATTGCTAATCGCTATACATTACACCGCCCGCACACCCAAGCTTACAGCACTTTGTATTTCCAAGCAGTTACCCATCTAGGTATTGACCAGGCTTCACGTTGCTTAACATCGGTGATCGTACGAGAAATGGCATTTCAACGTGATATAGCCGTAAGCTTTATATATGTGTGTGTGTGCATGTGTGTGTACGCACACACTCACACACACGCGCGCAAACACATACACGTACAGACACACAAACACACATATATATGTATGTTTTAGTTATAAATTTACACATAATTAAACGTCATAGACGAATGGATATAATCAGAGGCCAAGTTAAAAACTTAGCGCTTTCTATACTTGTAAATAAGTAACGAAAGAAATAAAAATATATATGAGAAATAAAATAAATATGTATATATAAGAAATAAAATAAAATGAATCATGGATAAAGACAAAAAAAACACAATTTTAGTTCTTGGTAACTAGGAGCAAATAACAACCCCTCACCCAATTATTATCAATGATAGTTCATCGGAAATTGCAAGCCGGTTGTTTTTTCCCCTTCGGCTTCTCTTTCTGCTTCTCTGAAATTTTCGTTTTTTTTTTTTCATCCACTACAGATTCCCCAAATGCGTCTTTCGTTTTATTCTCTCTCTCTCTCTCTCTCTCTTTTTTCTTTCTGTCAAGAAAATCTACTTTACGTTTTAATACAACGACCACAACAAAAGCCTTTTTTCTTATTCCTTACTTATTTTCGTTTACATCTTCAAAGCAAAATTACGTTACAAAATTCGATTCTGCTTTGCTTTCAGCATTTTTTCCTTCTTTTCATTTCGTTTTTTTTTTCATTCATTTCTTTTTCCCCGTTTTTCAATTCTGTTTTCTTTTTCTCTTGCATTTTCTTTTATTTAATTCTTTTTTGTTCATTATTTTCTTTCATAACTTTTTTCATCTTGTGTTTTGTTACTCATTTTTCGGTTTTATTTTTATCTTTCTTTTTCTTCTTATCTTCTTTATTTTTATGTTATTTCTTTTTCATTTCTTTTTCATTGATCTCCATTCTGATTTTTCCTTCATTTCTTTGTCTGCTTTTTCATATTTTTTCATTTTTTCTTTTCTAACAGTTTTCATTCTTTTTTTTTAAATTTTCTTTTCATTATTTTTTACATTGTTTTGTCTTTAATTTTACTTTTTTTCTCTTTCATTTTCCTTTACTTTGCCTCTTTTTTCATTAACTTTTTCTTTCTCGTTCTGTCTTCATATTTGTTAAACTTATTTTGTCACTGCATCTTGGTTTTTCTGTATTTTTTAATTTTACGGTTTTTATTGCTTTCTTTTTCACAGATGTTTTATTTTCTTTCTTTCTTTCTTTCTTTCTTTTTACTTCTTCACCCTTTTTTGTTCTTTGTTCATCATTTTGTTCTTTTTTTCTTTGGTGAAAAAATTCAAATCTTTCTTTTTTCTACTTCGTCTTTTATTGTTTTTTGTACACGCATTCAAATCTTTCTTTCTCTCACCACTCTTTCTCTTTCTTTCATTGTTTTTTGACGACCATCACCCCTGACATGAAACTGTCATACAATGAGGACGTAATTATCATGCGGTTCACTTTGGTCAGACACTACCTCACTGCGTCGACAGGTAAAGAAGAGATGTCATGAACACCTGACCCGAATATGAAACTCCCAAAAAGCTTTTCTCTTATTAAATTTCAAAAAAAAAAAAAAAAAAAAAAAGAAGTATTTTGTTCACCAGGAAATGTTTTGGTATTATCTAAAGTTTTTCGTTTGAGTTGAATCAAATGCAACATGTAATGTCAGCCTAACTCAAAAATAATGTTAAAGTAGAAAAAATAAAATTCGTAATTAAAAGTATTTTGCATGATATTTAGTGACGTGGAATTTGAAGAGGATTTTGAGGAAGCGCTGTTAATCCGAGGGTGCTGCACTGTTAGCCAAACTTAGCTCAGAGACCGATAATATTGCACTGAGTTCGTATCTTCAGTTGGTGCGTTACATGTGTGACCTTATGGCAAAGTCATGCTGAGTACGCTTGTCTTGGGCTGCTTTAAATTCTGTCCGTGTCCTATGGTTGTGTCCGTGTGAAACACGAAGATGAGATGAGAAAATATTGTTGTTTATTAAAAATAGCTTAATCCAGGACAAAAACTCTAATGTTTTCCACTTACATGAATTAAAAAGATTATTTTGAATTACTTGCTAAGTCTACCGCTAGCAAAATTGGTTCACAGTGACGGGCTAAACAATTTTTCTCTCCAGAATCTATCTTTATAAGTTTACAATTCGTCACTAAATTGAATATTTTGCTGACACACCTGGTTTGGTGCTTCTGCTATGTCTCTAGATGTTCTTGACATTATTTAAAGCGGAATCTGCAATATTATCGATCCTGATCCGGCATCTCGGTTTCAGTCATTTTCCCACCACCCTAATCTAACATCCCTTTGCTTTTTCTATAAATATTTTCATGGCCATTATTCTGACAAGTTTCCCTTTTTGGTACCTTGTCTTCGCGAATTTAAGCGCAGTTCTAGATTGGCATATAAGTTTCACCATTTTACTGCTGAAATTGCTAGATGCAACCGTAAGTTCTATTCTAACAGTTTCTTCTCTCGCCTCTTTCGGCTTATTATCCTGTTCACTACGATCTTCAGAAATGTAAATGCAACGTCAAATGTTATGTTCTGTCGCCTTGAATCCTGTGCGTTTATTGTCCTCTCTTTTCTCAATAATGTTTTCAATGTTTTCTTTCTCAGTAACCTCACCGTTTCTTAGTGGCTTTATAGCCTTTCATGGGTTGAAATGATAAAAAAATTAGAACTAAGGATGCAAAAGTGTGTTTTTTCAAATCTACAAATTTGCCTCATTGTCAATAAATTTCAAATGATTCACAAAGCTCTTAATATCATTTTTATTAAAGTATTTTTGTTTTCTACAAGAAAAATGAAGAGATTGTTCTTTAAACTAAAGAATAGGGGGTCATCAAATGGAAGTAAAGGCATTAAAGTCGGCAGTCTTTATCCTACTACGATAACAAATTATTAACAACAACAAAAAAATATATAAAAGTTAATGAGAATATGTACGATATCAGTACTGCAAACATTTAACTGCACAAAGATACAGATAGACAAAGATTGCAAAACAGTCAGAAAAAAAAGGGATAAAAAATTAAATATTTTTAATTTTCGAAAATGAACAACGAATGAATAAGAGTAAATATTAATGGAGAATATTGGAACCGTCTCACTTTATCTGCTGACCTGAGATGGAACGAATACCTTGAGTCAATAGCTTCATCCACCGCAAAGAAAGTCGGCTCTCTGTGCCACGCCAGAAAAATTTTCTCGCCGGAGTCAATCCTTCAAATCTACAAATCAACCATTCGCCCTTGCATGGAGTATTGCTGCCATATATGGTCTGAAGCCCCTTCTGTTGATGAAATCCAAAGACGGATATGCAATGTAACTGGCACTAATCTGGCATCTCGTCTGCAGTCGCTCTCTCAGAGACATGCCGTCGCCTCCCTCTGTCTTTTTTACAAATACTTTCACGGTAACTGATGCTTTCACTGGTTCCCAGATTTCATGAATTTAAGTGTTCTACTAGGCTGGCATCTCGCTCTCACCCTTTCACAGTCAAAACTGTTAAATGCAGCCATCTCTTCTACTCCAATAGTTTCAAGTCTCGCACCTGTCATCTGTGGAACTCCCTCCCTTTTTCCTGTTTCCCTGATGGCTATAATCTCCAACTATTCAAATGTAATGTCAATCGACGTCTCCAGATGCCTCGATCTAACCCCTAACCTTCTCTTTACCCTTTCCTCTATCACTCGTCTTTGCTCTCGCACCAACTCTCTGTAACCCCTTGCGAGCTAATGGCTTCCCGCCTTGCTTGGGGTGGAATGCTTAACAAAAACTAAAATAGCCAAATTTAATCTGCAAAAATTTAAATGCGATATCAAGCGATATCTACTGTCTTCCTGATTACTCTTTTCTCTTTCTACTCATTATTAAAGTTTTTGGTCCTAATTCTTCCACACCGACTAACTCCTTGTGTCTTAGTGGCTTTATTGCCTTGCTTCGGGTGAACTCGATTAAAAAATATCAAAATAATCGAATGAATTACTAGAAATGTTAAATGACCTAAAGAGAGAAAGTATGAAGGTAGATTTAAAAATGAACAGAAGCAAATCAAATGCAATGTTCATTGATAATATTCTGACAAATTCACTAGAAGATGAAAATCTGAAAGAAGTCCAGGAATATATTTAATTAGGGAAGATGATAACATTAAAGACGAACCATACAATGATAGGCTGGACGGCATTTAACAAAAATAGAGAGATAAGGACGAAAAGCATCGTGTCCCCTTCTTGCTGAACACGGAAATTGTATAATGAATGAATAATAGAGCAGGTCAATTTTGGATTCAATTTGAAAGTGGAGGTTTTACATGATAATGACAGAAAAAAATATTCTTTTCCAAATCGTTATCGTTTTTTGAGGAAATGAGTTTAAAGATTAAGCCTAGGTTCAAAACTGTAGCGTTGGAATTTCATTTTGGTGATCAATGAAAACCTTATAGCCTTATAAAATTTATAATTTACTGAAGCATTACAGTTTGTATATGGACAAGATGCATGGCACAAACACATTATTGTGCCATCAATTAAGACAAGACTTTCATTTACTTCAAAGGGAAATTATATTGAACACTTTAGCTATATTATGATGTAATATGTCATACAATGCAGTAGTTTTAGTGTGATTTTCAATAAACGATGCAAATTTAGAACATTATATTTTATAATTTGTGCCCAGCAATATTATGATGTTATATACACTTTTATCTATTTTTTTCTTTTATTATGATCTAACAAATCTTACACTATTTACATTATTCGGACTATTGTCCTCATCTTTGTCGCCATATTTATTACAACGTTTCGGCCGTTGTACGCTCCGGCCTTCTTCAGGTGGTTGGAATGTCGAACTGAACCCGTTATTTCGCTCACTTCCACGTGCTATGTTTAATGGATGCCAGGTATCAGTTATACCTGGTTAATTCTTCTCTCCAAGTTCTCCACTGCCATAACCGGGTATTGAACTCACACTCTTTTGGGTCCTGTCACTGGATCTAACTAATTTATCCACTGTGCCATGTGTCCTTGAATTTCTGGGTATTATAGAAATATAGACAGATACTAATAAATCTTATTCATTGAATAGTCATTTTTGTAATCATTTGCAATTTTTTTTACACAGGTTTTATTTGTCGGATACAGTAAACAAATGTATATTTTGCTTGTGGTGATTCATAATTAGAATTCTGGTTGGAATATAATTTCTATTCCATGTATCTAATTGTCATATAGAAAGAAAATAAGTAACTACTGACACCATGGTTCGAGCGTGACACTCTGGACTTATGAATATGTTTTCCGCCAGGTGTATAAATAGCGGTGTCAGGCTACTGACTGTAGTGATTATTCAGTGATTATTGAGTGGAACTATCCAGTCGAATTAGTGTGAGCTATTTTACGTCAATGTTTTTAATTTTGATTTAGGATTTACCGGACGTTAAGCCGAGTCACGCTACTAACAATGTATTCATTGAAATCTTTAGTTGACTTTTACTTCTTTGTTCTTATTTACGGTTGTAATTAAATACTGTTTTATTTTAAAATTGAAGTCTTGAGTTATAATTAATCATTAATGGCCACCGTACGTCATAAAACTAATACAAAAGATATTTTTATTTGGATTATTTCATGAAATAGTAACATTTTGAAGTTACTTTGTAAGTAAAAACGTGAGGAAATTATGTATTTTTGTACATTGTAAGACGATATTTGAAACTAAATGCTCAAAAACTGGTGAAAGCAGTAAATGTAAGTTTTTGGTGGCAGTACTTAGTACATCAAACTCTAGCTTTCACACCGAGTGTAATATTAATTTTATAAAAGAGTAAAGAAAATCAACTTGCCCTAATATATGATGTCATCTACGGCGAACGGATACGAACAACGGAAATTAACAAAATCGAATGCAAAGGAACTCAGAGAGGCACAAAAATCAATAGAAAGAATTCAAGAGAACAAACGAAAATAAAAGATGATATAGGCGTAATTAAACAACAAAAATGAGGTAGACTGGACAAACGAAAAAATATCAGATGGAGCAAAAGGTTGCTTCTTGATTGACGTCTAAAAATGACTAGGTAGAATTATAGAAGGATGCGAGAAACGCATTTGTCCAGCAGTGGTTTTGCAATAAATGTCGTTGCTGATTATGATGATGATGTAAGCTAAATAGATTTTATAGATATATAGAGAGACAGTATATTAAATGTAATATAAGGTAAATAATAGAGGGTTAATAAGAAAATATTAGAACAATTAATATTCCTTAATGAGGATGGTGAGGCAATATTTCTTGGAAAGGTTAAGTATTTTAGCAGACTATACAGAAAGAATCAGGATTTTTATTCAAAGGTTGAATTTCGAGTGTTTCATTTTCATATATA